TAGATAGATAGATAGATAGATAGATAGATAGATAGATAGATAGATAGGTGTGTAGTCACCTCATAAAACCTGCTTCCAAAGACCGAGTTTCTCAAACAAGGTTGAAAAGGTTACTGTGTCTCTGTGCTATTTTGATCAAAGTGTGTCACAGAAATTGAATTAATGCCCGCAAAAACTGTGTCGCCTAATTAAGACAGACATGGCAAGTTCAGAGTGATACAATTTTTTACCTGAGAGATTTTTTGACAGCATTCAGAAAATGAAAAGAGAGCGTGAAAAAACGTACTCCATCTGCTTAAATCAGGAGCTGGTGGCAATCTTAACAAATATCTATGTTTCAATGTAACTGAGCTGCATGTGGTGAATCCAAAGAGGAACGTATTCTACAACAAATGACATCATGTCTGGGCTGCTGGTCAGACTTTTCTGTTTCTGTAATCTTCTTTTGGAGCACAATAAAACCTTGAAGAAGAATCTGTCAGTTGTGAACCATAACCTTGGCAATGAATTAAAGCTTTCTGTAAGATACAAAGCTGTAGATCAAGTGGAAAGACTCTCCTGTCCTGCTAGCCCATTTCTCTCTTTCAGAGTTTCTCCTAAACAGTAGAAATGCCATCAACTGTAACGTGGCTAAAAATTGGGTTTGAAAAAGAGCCCAATCTGGTCCCCAAAAGTAAAAAAGCAGTTCGATCTGATTTGCCATATACAAGCACAGAATAGGGCTTATTCAACAACAAATCAGCAATAAGGAAATATTAATGGCACTGGCATGCATGATGCAATGAATCTCTCTTAGTTTCTATATTAAAGTCACAACACTTCTATTTTTCTATCACACTGGATAAAAACATTCTTATCCTAATCTATTATTTAGGTTCATTTTCGGGGAAATAATTAGTCTTACCTTCATAAAAATCACGCAACTGCAAGTGGACCGATGCACCTGTAAAAGTTCAGAACGGATGTCAGATCATTTCATTTATTCACGATTCTGCAGAGACATTAGCAATACAGTCTACATGTAGTCACACACAAAGATGCATATATAATTATCTCACTCATAAGAAATTATTAAAGTAAATTATGAATAATTATGAAAGTTTCTTTGGAGAGAAGGTTACAAATCACTGGATGTCAGTTTTAGATTAAAAGACTATCCGTAGCTGAAACTCTATGGATGCCACTGGATTCCGATTTTTACAGTGATGTACCAGAATCAAACTTTATGGTATATGTCTCTTTTGAATGTGGGTTTTATGAGCCTTTCAGTTTTAAAAAGGTACCCACTGATCTATCAAGCATGTGATGAAACAATAAACCTAATGCTGTGGTCTTAAAGACTCTGAACTTTACACAAAAGATAGTGTACACTTGACATTTGTTCAGCTATCACAAAATTAAAGTCACACATTAACCATCAAACTCTTTTTTTAAAATGTCATTCCAATGTCTTCTGTCATACAACGAATGCCAGAGGCTGCTGTCTGTTTGATGAAAGCACCAGTTCAAACTAGTGCTAGTTCATAGTCATGTGGAAAAGAAAGTACATTCTCTCTCAGCTCCAAGGTTTTATGTGTCAGGACATAACAGGATGTAAATGCCATGGTCTCCACCAGGGTTTGAAAATCAATAAATGCAACTAATGATGAGCAAAAACCAACGAAATGTAAAGTATAAAACATGTGTACACAATATTTATTTTAAAGTACTTATGAACATATAATATTTGGTCCACTGTGTCATAATTTCATAATTGAAAAATGGTCAAATGCAGAAACCAAGCATAGAAAAGCAACTAAAGAACTAAAAATATCTGACGTTATCATTCTCACACATAATTGTGGAGATTCTTATCTTATCTGCTTTTTATCCATTATGTTGAAGATTTGCTCCTGTGGAACCATCGTCCAGTCCAGCTTTAGCTGTAGGACAAATGGCCTCATATTTGACTTGATATTTTAGCACATTGGGAATATATGGTCAACTCAAGGACATCCAAGGTATCCAAGTGTTGTGCTCATCATCATCATCCATCAGCGGGTTTGACACGTTTGAGCTGCTGTATTTGGTTTGAGCTACACAATACGACCAAACGACTCCACCTTGGTGTCATCTATTCGATGGACATTGTTCTACAAATTATGTGAACTGTCAAAAATGTAATTCTACTAACCATATAGCATGCTGCCATGTTCTTTTCAGAAAGAAGTAAACCCGGTAACCATTATACAAAACTTAGTCTTTTGCTAATGTCTTAATTTCATGATTAATTTTTTATTGATCATTTGAGGTCATACTCATCTAATCTGAATGCCTTGTTGGAAAATACTGCATTAAATTGTACTCATACATAAAGCTTGAAATTTATATTGTATTTTTCCTTTAAAAACAACTGTGTGCATTTCATGTATTTCATTATTGTATTCTCTTTGAGAAGATCTATGCAATTGTATTTTTTAGTTTAAAAAAAACTCTGGGGTATGCAGCTACACTGGGGATACCATTATCAGTGAGAAGTCTACAGGATAATAAAGTAGAATCGTATAAAGTACAATACCTTTTCTTTCTTTTATATGCAATGCAGATCTTTGAGAATTGGGCCAAACATCCGCTTTTTTCTTTTCAGTTTATGCGAAATCCAACTAATGCAAGTGGGACTAACCCAGAAGTACAGGGACAGAGAGGAGACTGTTTCTTTTTTAGACAGGCTTTTTTCAAGCCTGCTGTTTTCTGTCTTCTTTGTTTTGCTTCCAACATAGCTGATTGCACAGCAGTATCCTGCATGGACCCCTGCAAAGCTTAAGCCCTCAAAGGCACATGACTCTCTTGTCTGGACTATGTGAGTCACATGAATCTTTTATGACAATCTATGCTCCTCGTCACCTTAAACTGTCCTAAATCTGACCAAATTATTTAATAAAAATGATAAAGAATTATTTAACTGTGCATGTCAAAACCAGAATTCATTTTTCTCTTCCAAGCCCTCACATTTGCCTGAATCATTATATTTACATATATATATATTTTTTTTTTCTAGGCTGGCAGTTAGCAGCTCGTTCACACTTTGTCTTTATTGTTTTCCATGTGTGAAGTTTTCCCCACCCAGTTCAGACAAGAGTGCTACTATCCAAGTTGCTAAACTGCTTGTGTGATTTGTATAGTTTGTATTCAGAGCCACTTATCAAAAGTTTAGTTTTGTTTCTGTATACGCCGCCTGAAACACAGCTCACTGTCAGCTTGCCAGCTCCAACAGAATCTTGACAGCTGATTTACTTTTTTTTTTTTGGTGATACTTGAAAGATGAAGGCCAGCCAAGTGGGATGAGGCTAAATGAGCAAAATCCTTTGAAAGTCTGCGTGCTTCTTATCAGAAATGCTTGAAAAGCGAAGCGTCAGAGGGCAAACTACTACAACTACTGATCTAAACACATTTCAAGCTATATTTGAATGTTTTCATACCGACAACAACTCTGAGTGGTAAGATGCATGATTTCTTATCAATCCTGCAACAAACTATGAAGTATTCATTTAGCCCATATAACATTTTATAAAGGGGATGTATGCTTTCCCCTTTCATCAGTGATTCGATATGTATTTTTTCTATTATTTCATTTAGTTGTTCGCTGTGATATAAACATGCAACCGACCTGCGGGAGAGTGTGAGAGGACCAGGAGATGGAGGACCAGGATGAGGTGCAACATGATGTTGAAGTAAAAACCACCTAGTGGGGTTACAGCCAGAGGCTCAGCTGATGCAACATTAGCCGGGCTTCTTGGTTTTCCTAAAAGAGATCAAAAACACAGAACAGAGGATGTTAAAAAAAAAAAACTAAAGGACAACAAGAAAGCACAAGGCATTCTAAAAATTTCCACAGTCCTTCAGCTAAAAGGGAAGTTTACCGACATTCTACACAAGCCCCATAACCTGTGGAGCAATAGAGAGGGCGACTTTTTTTAACTGCCTTTTTAAAGTGAAGCTACAGACAGAGATTAGCGAATAGAATGTTAGCGCCACATCAAAACATGATTTACGACTTGATATGATGTCTGTGTAACATTTTCTTGCGAGATAAAATCAGTGAGGAAAGGCAGGAGTGACCCAAAGACATTTTCATTCATTTACACAACCAAATATCACAGTTAAAGCGAGTGCAGTGCAAAAGACATATGCCTCATGCGGCATGTCACCCAGCAGAAACAGACATCTCAATAGCACCAACCCTCAGCCTCATGCCGGTGTGCACCAGATAAAGTAGCAGGAGCTGTGTGAGGAGCGGCAGGAGGAATGATAGTTTCTGTATAATAACTATTATTGCCAGTATGTTACACTGAACAGAGAATAAATCTGTGCAAATGGTTTTTGCAGGGGGCGTTGGGGTTTGCACAAAACTGAAAACTTAAAACTGATACTCTAATGACATATCACATCACAATATCCTTTTTAGTAGATCGTGACGACATAGTCACACAGACCAGATTTTCCAACCAAAGCTGCTTTTGAAGTTGTGTTGGACAACTTGAAAACAAGTACAAAAATGTTGTAAACAATGGTATGCTTACAGATTTATCTTCCTGTATGTGATTATTTTATGATTTCAGAATTACATAGATTGTTTACAGTCAGAGTTTTGACAGTGTAAAAAAACTATTCTCAACATCTATTTGACTTGTTTTTCTTCTGTTCTAAACCAATACATTATCACACTCACACTGACTGATTTTCTGGTGTCAGAGCACCTAAAATCGGTTCAGTAACAGCAGACCTGTCCATTTTTCTCCAGCTATACTGGATCGGCGACTGTTGATTAAAGTGTAATCGAAGACCAGGCAGAGGTGATTGATCCTTTGTGAACCCCTGAGGTGTCCGCTGGCAGAAACTTGGAGGTCTGACAGTTGGATTGAGATCTCAGAGCTCACAAGACCACTGAAGTCTTCTTGCAGAAAAAAAGAAATGACGGAGGGGAGTGGCATCGCAGCTTTGGAAAACTGCAGTTGGTAGATTTTAAACAGAAAAACACAAGCTGACACTCACACAAGAGGGAAACTGTGTCCGAAACCCTGAGTCTGACGTGTGGGAGACACAGACGTGCGTGAGATGTACAGACGTAAGAGAGCCAGAAAGACGGGATTTCATCTCAATGTGGGATTGTAGCCTAGCAACACCTTTTCAAAAGCCGCCGTTTGTGTGCTGCGGAGCGGAAGGGGGGCGGCCGGGGGGCTTGCAACCAAACTATGCAAACACTCATTCTAATCTGGAACAACTGCTGCTGTGGACAGGAGACCTGTGGCGATAGCCTTGTCTTGAGGCCCGACATAGCCCCGACATCATACTTTTCTATACTTGTTTAAATCCTCCTCATCCTGCTGTGAGGACCGTCATTTCTGTTTCTGCCAAATCGCAAATGTTGTCCTAAGGTGCAGGGTCAGGTGAGAAAAAAAAAAAAAGAGCCTCAATATAGCGCCACACTAATGTCAAAAACCAATCCCATCACTGTAACAGCACCCAGAAAGGTAGTAGGCTCATATGATAAGTGTTAATGCTCCCTTCTACCTCTCCTTTTCTTATCTTAGCTGCCTGAAAGCACGTGATTTGAGTGCTGAACCCATCAGTGTAAATCACCAGGCCCAGATGTGAAAGCCCTCAAACAGGGTCATTTCTTCTCCCCCATAAATCACACACACTATGTTGCCAGAGCGATCACTGCTCTGCTCACGGTTTGATTGAACTCTTTTCCTTTTTTTTTCCCTCTTTCTCCACCCCGCATTTGTTTCACCCCTAGCTACTTTCTGCTCCACGAACATAATTCTATTTCCATGTCTTAACTTCACTCCGAATTTTCAGCATCAACGGTCTGAAACCTAAAATCATATCACAGCAAGCGGAGGCGTCGGGGGGGCAGATTGTGAAATTCAGCTGATGAAGCTTGATATAATCAGTGCTGGTGCCGTTATCCTGACCCCAAAACTTCCTAAAGGCTTTCTTATGTTTGCACCAGTTTGCACTTAATATTAAGTGGGTAACTTTATAGAAATGTTTTACCTCTCAGACCCAGTGATGGGAGGAGAGGACAGAATGGAGGAAGGATGATGGAAGGGGTCAGAGCCTTCAAAAACAAGACGTTGCTCTGGCAACCCCATCCCCCTACCGCTAGCACTACTCCCATCACAGTCATTAACAAAAGAGCTGCTGTAATCCTACATGTGAAGCCAGACCAGGGTTAATGCTGGCTTTGTCTTAATCAGTTTCAGAAGGAAAATGAGCACAGACAACACAACTTACGTCTCCTGCCTTTCTTCACTTGAATGGAAGTGAACTATTTAGGCGTGTGGTGAAAACAGATCATTGAATCAACCACAATGTATGGCAATGTTTTGATTTGCCCATCAAGATTAAGAGTCATGAGGCAAGTAGGTTTTAAGACCATCTGTTCATTAGTGTCTTTTAGGCTAAAAGTAACAGGTCATCCCATTTTCTGGCGAGAACCATAATGAGGTATCAAACGTACACTTTTTCTTTTGTGCTGAACATCACATCATGTCATCGTGTTCTTTCACCCCAGTAGGTGTTTCATGGCCTAAAGCTGGAAAAAAAGGCTATTTTTGCATGTATGTAACCAAAGAAAGAGGGGGAAAAGCGCCAGTGACCAAAAAAACTGCAGGGTGATATCCAAGTCAAGGAGGAACACCAGAACATTTTCCTGCACGAGTCCGAAATAAAATCTTGACAACATGCAACACAATTACCAAAAAAAGGCATTGACCTTGAGGGCAGAAGTGCTCTCAGTGGGCTGTTGGTCTATTTATTTTTCAACTTTGCTGTTAAGCATTGAGATTTTTTTGGTCAAAACACAACTCCCTATGGACTCACATTCTAAAAAAAACTGTGAATAATGGTTTGACTCATCAAGCCTCTAAGGCCGATCGCTTGTTTCTTTGTGATTATAGCCATCATATTCAGATATAGAGTTATTTGTCTGAAATATGCCAACTTGTGCTGCTTAGTACAGTCAAACAAAACTAGGCGTTCACCCACCCCAAGTTTCCCGTCTCTTTACTAAACTGGGCAATGATTAAGCTGCAGGCTCCAAATGATTTAGTGTGAGTATTATTGATCCTCCTGTCCGCATAAACAAAGCATGTCAGTAAATATTTTTGACCTGCTGCTCTGAATTCCTCTTCTTTTTTTGTGTCAGCCCAATCTTAGAAGGCTGTAAAATCTTACCTTTATCGACATATTTAATGTGTGACATGTGAACATTTCTAGGAATCACTCATCATAACCAGGGAAATTTAATAATGGAACTAATGAGATTCAGAGTCATCAATTAATGCTGCTGGGAAGAAAAAAAGACAAGCAATAACGAGAAAGGAACATTGATCGGGATTACATTAAGGTGAAACGGAGTGATATTGAGCCTGACATCATCTTTAAGAGGCAGCTGGGTCTTGGTCCACTCTGAGGGGCATTACTGTTAGATCGTTTTAGGATAATTCGTCCAGAGCCGTCGGAGCATCTGTGTCCTTATTTTGTGAAGAAAACAGACATATCAAACAGCTGCCAATACAGGTGGTTTACTACCACCTGTATTGGCAGTTCACAGGGAATCTAGGGGAAATTGACTAGAAAAGCTGCCACTAACCCTGCTCTGCATTTCCCAGCCACTACTTTTGCAGCCAACGTCTGCTATAGTGTCATCAACTCAGTTGTATCCCATGGTTTTGTTGGCTTTTCCAACATATCCCGGAACAGTTTGTGATAAAGTCAACAATAGAATCAACAGTGGACCACTTTATTTTAAATGGAAAACGAGACCATAAAATCTTCTCAAGTTTGATATATGCACCTGATACTGCTTCACATATTTCAACACAAACCCCGAATTAAGATACAATAGTCACATTTCTTCTTTTGCTGAATAAGTTCCATTTAACAATAGAGAAGAGTGGGGATACATTTAATCTTATCTATGCATTATTGATGACAGAACCATTTATCACAGATCCTAAAATGAGCCAGTTAGCCTGTTTTTCTTCAACTGCAACTCTGAAAGACCAACTATTTGTATCTTATAATTGTGAAAAGAACACATTGATTATCTGCACTTCTGACAAAGTAAACAGAGCAAGAATAAAACAATGCAACAAAGAAAAGGCTTTGTGTTGTTCAGATCTCCTGTTGTTAGGGAGAAAATGGTTTAGCACTTTAAAGGACAGAAAACTATATTTTTCAAATTGCAACAGTTTGATTTCTCTGTCAGCCTTCACACTTTTTTTCCCATTTAGAAAAATAAAATCACAGCCACAAATTGTAGTAATTCCAGCAGACCAGTTTATCTCAGCACGTGACCGTCTTATTTCCTGGCAAAAAGAAATTCTAAATCAAATATAAACTAATAAATAGCAGCATTATCCAAAGCTAAAGTGCTACATTATTGTAAAATGATCATATTGGCGGTTACATTATCAGAAGTTTGTGTACATACAGTATGTCCTAGATTGTAATTACTTTTCTCCATCAAAACCTATGAACCGGTGCAAAGTATTATTCATGATGTAATCAAGCCACAGATGAGCCATTCATGGCTCTTTCACTGTGTCATCCTGTCTCACTCGCCCTGCCTCCTTCTTTCCCTTCTTCTCTCTGTCTCTGCCTCTTACTTGATACAAGCAGGCATGCTAATGTAAGCTATTTATCCCAACCCTTGCCGTCAACACAAAGCCCCCCAAGGCCACACAGCATCAGCAACCTCAGCAGGCCTGAATATCAATGACACCAGTCATTCAATACATGAACACTGGAGCTGGAACGCTGTATGCATTACATTAACCTAAAATCAGGTGTTGCTTGTGAATGAATGCAAAGCTGCACAGCCATCACTTGATTTATAAGATTTTATGAGAACCTTCGCAATTTACTCATCAATATGCAAAAAGCTAGTCATTATTCAGGGCCTCATTTACGGTATGTATACATGCACAGAAGAAAATATCATTTTCAGTCCATTGTGACATGCAGTCGATCAACACCTTCTTTTGGATACACAAGAACCTAATATAAGACTCTGCCATCATACAGATTTTGGGATTCTGATTTTGTGATAAGGAACCAGGTAAACATACCTCACAGCTACAGAAAAGGTTATCAGAATAAAAAAAATTAAGGAAACTTCTAACAATACAGATGAAAAAATTGTAATACATTTTGTCCATCTGCTTATAGAACTTAATTAGCTCTAAACTCGTCTTTATTCCCATCCCCATGGTCTACGTCATCTGCTCTGATTGGAAGTCCTCTGAGGAGTTATTACTAAAAAGCCCACTGAGGGCTTCCAATCGAGTCTACAGCATGTTGCAGAGAGCAAAAGGTATGAAAAGAGCTCTTTTCCTCCCCGTTTCTATTAATTAATGTGAAAAACTCTTTAATGCAGCTGCTTCAATGGATCATGACAAACATTTCTTGGCAGAACAGTATGATACAAATAAGATGTGGTTTTGGATTCCAAGAACCTCTTTACAGTTCTAACAACTACTTTCCCACTTCCTTTGTGTCTGCACAGTGCTTTTGCTGGGTCTTTCAGGTCTTGCTTCTGAGTGCTTCCTCAGATGAGAGGTTGTTTGTATTATGGCTGTACAGCAATTTATTGAAAAGACTTCCATCTACCATTATTTGATGAACGAAAGAATCGCAATAACAGAGCCCGCAGATGCAAAAGAAGAAACAAAAAAGGCTTGCTGACACTTTTTTGGTACAAAAGGTCAGTCAAAAGCCAGCTAAATACCTTACAATGGCTTTAAAACCTCCTGACAAAACATAGAGTAAGGCAACAGTTGCAAAGCTCTGTTACCGCGCTGTTAATGCAGCTTCAGGGTTCCTATTTGCAGTCTGTCAGCAACCGAAGAAGAAGATAAATGACCTTCTGCTTAACTTATACTGTGCCTGATCAGTGGACGGACTGGTGTGAGATCATCTTAAATGTTTGACAAATGACAGGTGAATTTACATCCAACAGAAGACTGCTGTGAGGGAGACTATTTTTCTTTATCGCTGCCATCATTTTTTATTTACATGTGTGATACGATCTAATAAATCTACAAGTTTACTTATTATTATGCTAATGAGGCACAGAAAAGCACTGACCTTTCTGTGCAACAGCACTGGAAGAGCGGAACACATTTGGCTGCACGACAACACTCAACGGAGAGCGTCCTCACATGAGCTTCTAACTATGGAAAGTGCATTGCATCACCTATGATAAATTGTACCAAGAGGTCAAAGGTCACGATAGACTTGCACTCAATCATGAAAAGAGTGCTCAGCCTAATTACTAAAAAGATATTGACCAAGCAACTTATTTCAGACAGCAGTGACATACTTTAAGAGATACACGCCCTGGTCCCCATAACAAATACTGCGTAGTGCCATAAATAACTGGAACTCGACAGAGTGCCAAAGAGGAAAGATAAAAATTAATAAAAACTACAACTGAGGATCATTCTGATAAAAACATCAATTAGCTCCAAATTTAACATGAACAGATGAAAGCAAATAAGTTACATATTGATGGAAAACCAGAAGTCTGTATGTAGCTGTAAGAGTTAACAAAAGGTGTGAAACGCCCGTGGTCGGACTCTGACCGATGCTTACCTTTGCTGTGGCCAGCTATGATAGCAGAGGCTAATTGACAAGATGAGCTACTTAGCAGTCCATGTCCCCATCCCCTTCAACATGCCTGCTCTGCCAAGTGTCCTAAATATTCCACTCTATTGTCTGCCTCAGAAAGAAGCAAATGCAGTTGAATGGAGGATTGCTCTCCAAGGTGCAAAGGAGGAGGAGGGGACAATGGGAAAAGAAAAGAGCAATTCCTTGAGCCGGACTGGGAGCCATGCAAATAGATGCCAGCGAGGGAGCTTCCCTGCAGAGAAAAAGCCCCACAGAGGGATCTTCCAAATGTGGCCGGAGTTTAATCTCTTAAGCCCCCCTGTCCCACTCGGGCACATGCAGAAAAAAAAGCCACCCCGCAAAATATATAAATTGAAAAAACCCCCACAGACAGGCAGTTTCCACCCCTGTCCCCTGCTTCAAAACCTAAACCCTGTTCCAACTCTGCTGTCATCGATACCCTGGTAGCAGGCAAAATGAAAAACCAGCACAGTAACAATCACCATTTCCTCTTATGTCACTGAAAGATCATTTTCCCAGAACAGATTAGTTCAAATGAACACCAATAAAACGTGTGCTCCACCAGAAAACCTGCCAGCCACAGGAAGCTGGCAATGGAGAGCTGAGATCAATTTCTCACTCAGTAGTTGAATTTATAAGTAAGTTCCAAAGCTAATTTGTCTGGCGTACACCTTTCCCAACATCTATATATCTTGCAAAGTAAAGACAACAACAATAACTCAAAACCACCTTTGGTTTTCATGATATCTTTAAACCTTGAAACATGCTTTTGTGGGATTAAGTCTACTTTGACTAGCTTTTATCTCTTTTTAAGAAACAGCAGCCTTTCAAAAAGGCTGTCACTCGAAATTATCTACATTAACATTATTCTGTGTTTAAAATGTAACTTTGTAAACACAGAAACTCATACTATGGCAATCAGCTAAAGGTAAGTAGCACGTTTTTCTCTCAAAGGCCTTTTGGCTTTTAAAGAGATGGAGCCTATGGCTATGTACTAATACCACTTGATCCTCTCTGTGTATTTACACACAGTCAGTGTTACAAATATTAGCTGAACCAACATTAGATTATTTATTTGTTATGAAAAACATCCTATTACGCTTTAATGTCCAAGCATAGAAGAACAATTAGTGGAAGAAAAACAAAAACACTATTGAGGACGCAGAATAACGACCTGCAGAATATTTTTGAGCTACTCACAGCGGTGGGATTTATACTCTGCCTGAGGGGAGGAAGGAGGTGTCAGATGCATCTTCTTAGTGTTTGGGGAACCAAGAGTTCCCACATACAACTTTTGGGTTGCACTAACAGAGAAGATGCTGAGTTGGTTTTGCATGGATTTGACAAAGTTAGGAACTGGAAGTTTTGGAGCTATGCAGCCTTGTGAGAAAACACACACACACACACACACACAAACACACACACAACACATCTGTCTGAACCTGAGTGAGCTCTGAGTGTGCGTAGGAACTGAAAGCATAATATCAGAAACTACCAGAAATACCGTAGAAATAGAATATTATTTACAATTATGAAAGGTTAAATGTAAAATATAGAATTAAAATGTTTTGAATGATTACTAAACGAGTGTGGAGAGTAAGTGGTGAGGGCGCCATGGTTTAGTGGTAAAAGGTACAATCACTACTTTGGTGCTAGAATGGACTCTATGCAACCATAAATCTTCAGATGTCTGTACTTAACTTCTCAGTCATCAAACCTAATGGATGAGGTCAAGGATGAGGCCTGCGGCGCTTGAAACGGCTTTAATTTAAATCAAGCACAGTGCAGAATTATACAAAGAAGCAGAAATCCTTCATTTTAGCAAGCATTTCTGTCTTCTATTCATAAAACCAGCGCAAAACCTCTTAGAAGCACACGACATGTGGAGCAGGGTACAGAAGATCACCGATTCCTTCTAAATCTTTCCTCCACTTTTATTTACTCATCTGACTCAGCCGTATCTCTCTGATCCAAAAGAGACTTTTTGTTTCCTCCTGTGTGTTCATGTGGAAAGCTGCTGCATTCAGTTTGTTTCCAGTCAGCCGTCTGGGCAAAGACGACAAACAAAGCATTAACCTGTTGGCGTTTCCCTCAGATGGACGTCTTTCTCGTTTAGTAGCAAACGCAGGATTTGCTTTACTATTGGAATGCCTCAAAAACGGCGAGTCCTTGGGCAAATCCAGATGTTTCTTGTGATTATGGTCCTTGCGGAATTTGCCAATCTACCTCAGCATAGACAAACATATTGAAAGAGCCTGCTTTGGCGCACCCTAATTCCCCATGACAATACCGGAGAAATAAACAGCTAACAAAGAAGCGCTTACCATGGTGCATTTACTAAAACTGCACAAGGAGCAGAAAGTCTAATCACACACTTGATGCAGATGAGGAATTTTCCGCAAACATCCCGATTGTCTTCTAAGAGAATTAAACAGATTCTGATTAGGGATTATGTACACCGAAATGAAAAATCGCCAGCCATTCACTATTTATTCGTCTTGAGAGTTTTACAGCTCATTAGGATGATGACTGATGGTGCAGATAAATGTGCAAATTAATAAATCTCTGAAGTCCGCACTCATAAAACAAACATTATAGGAAAACTTGAAGTGTTGATAGCATCAGTTTATATTGCTCCGTGATGGGAAGCATGTTTGTCCCATTAGTGATTCGCCTCTTTGCTGCCATGCCCCTAGTTTCTCCTCCCTCTGATCACATTTGAGATGGTACTCCATGGCGACAGCATAATGAGGAGACTAGATGCATGAATGAAACTTAATTAGGAATCAAAACGTTCTGTTTGTAGCTTTTATAAAAATGATCATTCATTTGGTCTATCTCTATGATAAACCAAAGGCATTGTCTATATGTACTTAAAGCACTCAGGGTCTAAAATTCAATATACTTCTTTGAGTTTGAGTTGTCAATGAGTCGCAAATATGAACTCTGTCCTGCTCAGAATGAAGTGAAGTGTCTCAGAGAAGTCTCGTCTACCACGGGTTAAGATCAGGTCACCAGCTAATAGCTTGCTAGCATGTAACGTGCATAATTCAACGTGCATTAATGTTAATAGAGTTTTTCTGCGGCTGTTTATGGCTGACTGATGATTGAACAGCCGGAGCCGTAGTCTCTTAAATGCTTTCATTTACGCCAAAGTCAATTGTCCCTGATTGCCTGAATGTGATTCTTGTTTCCAAGCCCTTTCTTACTGCTCAGTGACTCAGCCGAAGAGAACAGAGGCACAATGAGGTAACCAAGCTGTGACTTAGGAGCAGGGACCAGTTGGACCCAGTGTGCTCGGAAGAGCTTTTGTGCGCATTTTAATATGAGCAGAGCCAAGAGGTTTGGGTAAAAAGCAGACATCTTGAGAGGGAGCCAGCTCCTGCAAACACTGTCTTTTGTATTTTTGGGACAAAAAGAGGTAGAAAGTTGTCCTTAAAATTAAATCAAATATTTAGATTGAAAAAATAATCATGACTTATTTTGACAATTTTGTTCCATTTACTAGAAGCATCTGTATTTAATGTAACTATTCTATAAACTGTAACTCGTTGGGAAGGATCAGATTCTCTCTTCCACACTTCACAGCTCTGTATTTTTACAATATATATGGGTTCTTTCTGAAGGATATTAAGAGGAAAATACAATACACCAGCCTTGTTTAGCACAGCGGGCTAAACATTACAGAAAATTGTTGCCAGGGCTGGGGAGGCAGAGAGCCCTGCTGCTATCTGACTGTCGAAAATGAAATATAGAAAAATGGTGGATAGGTCTTTTGTGTGTCTGGACCACTAAACAACAGTGGTCTATTGTTTGAATATTGAATAAACTCACGTCACTTCTTCCCCACTTTTTCACATTTTCCACTTCACAATGAGATGTGCTGACTCCTTTATTTCCAACTTACCTCTGCCCTTATCAGAATACAACAAGATGCAGTCAAAATCACAATACTAACACCATCAGGTTTATCACACGCTTAAGGTGTGAATCTAACCTCTAACGTTTATTTTTCTGGAATATCAGTGACAATATTCACTTGTTAAATATGTGATCCAACTTTAACATATTCCTGGTCTTTATATACAACAAGCTATGCGTATACTGCAACATATTTAATAGTGAAAAGTACTATTTACCTTTATTGTTGAAAAAATGTGTCGAAGTCAACACTCATACAAATAAATCACAAAATAGACATCCGACACAGAATACAATAAAAAGGAACAAAAAAAAGTTGATGAGCGGTCTGCCTTAGTGGGTCAAACATGCTTAATGCATCTGGAGGGGAAAAGTTAAACACATGGGAGGAATACACTCATTGTGATTCACTGGAACAACATCCTAACAACGGCTTACAAATTGAAGGGGACTCATACAGCCCCTGCACGCATATCTTGTCACGCACAAATAATGCTCCGATAGGCTTGTTCTTTTCAGTGTGCAGCGCTGCAGTGTAGAGGGATTTCATTCTGAGGGGCAAATAATGAGCTCTTCTCTCCGCAGAGGACAGAATCCCAAAGCCAGCAGCGTTAAATACAACCGGAAAACACACACACGCAAACACACACGAACACACGGGCTTGTAGCACCTGAATAAAGGAAAGCTAACCTCCAAACTGGACACAGAACATGCATCAACCCAACAGTGGGCCTTCTTTGCCACCCACCCTCAAATCATTTGTAGTCACTCTCCCATAGGTGCTGACTCGGCAGCTCTGGATCCAGCTACATATGTCCCAACTTAACTGTACCTCGGAATTAAGCGTTTGTCTTTTAGACGGTTAGCAGCTGCCGTCGTGGCATCCTTCTTTGACATGAACTCAACGGCACACACACTAATGCAACCTCACATAAACAGTTAGCTGTCAAATGGCGGGGCTCCCCAGCTGTGACCTCACATCTCAGCGGTAGAAGGCATGAGATTAATGACAGCATGAGGGAGTGGGGGTGTGGGGGGGGGTGTTGAATGTGTATTTTACAGAGATACGGGGAACGATAAAGCCAGACAACATGGCAGTCTCAGGGGAGGTCACTGCAACAATGTTTTGAAAAAGACTACAGTGTGTGCCAGGGGGAGGATGCTGCCTTTAAAAAATTTAAAAATAGTTGTTGCAGAGAGAGCTGCGTAATGTAGGAAGTAAGAAAGCTTGGCTCCATCCATTGTCCCTATTGAAAAAAGATATGACAACTATATTTTAAGAAACAACAAACATGGAGGTAAGAGGGAAACAGCCTGTAGAAGCGCTGACCTGTTGCAGTTTCACCTGCCTCCTCCCTGTCTGATCTACTCTGCATCAAGTCCCGCTCATATCCTCTGTTCTCGTCTCTCTCTCCAATCTTTTCACCGTCTCACGCTTCTCCTCTTGGCTTATCTTCCATTCTGTCCCTCCCTCCCAGTTTTTTCCATCCTCGCGTTCCCTCATCCATAATGGATACTTTGGTGATAGCCTCTTCCTGGGACCCCCATGCCCCTGGAGCCAGTCAAGCTGTATTGATTCCAGCAGCATAGAGTCATCAAGGCATAGATAATAAGGTTTAGAATCACACTGGATTTTCCGCATCCCTCCCTACCCCCTCTGGATGTGGGCCCGTCCTCTCCGGTCATCCTCTGTCCGTCTTGTCCGACACGCACGCATTATTTGGTTTGGGGGGGGGGGGGGGGGGGGAAATATGGGGTGTTTTTTTAACTTTTTTTTTTTTGCTTTTTGTGC